GTTTAACTCATTGGCTGCCAAAGACGTCTATAGACGTCAATTCAAATACAACCTATAGACGTCTTTTTTGTTTTTCAACGAGAGTGTCTGGGGGACGATCTGCTAAAGCTTGTCCGTAAATATGGGCTTCTAGACAGAGTATGTAGTAACAAATTGACCCTCTAGGGGGCAGTGCCACTTTTGATGGGAGATGAGCATAGACTGTAGGCAAATAAGAAAAAGGGAACGGTTCTATGAGAGAACATGTCGCCGGTGAGACGCAAGTCCAGGAAGAACGGAATAAGGTAGAAACACTTTTTTTTCCTGATGAAAGAAGAGAGTCTACTCTTTCTTTTGGTGTGTTCGGTGTTTACATAGTCATAGCACAAACTATTTTGTTGCTCTTGAAAAATCAGTCAAAATGCTCAAAAAACTGAAAATGGCTGGCGGTCAATGACTTAAGGGCTTGTTTTTAAACTAAAGTACAAGGAACACCGGCCATAATGATGCTCTTTAAAGGGGGTATGTTATGCTGCTTAGTCCATTTATTTGCTTGGGAACAAATGTTTTAAGAAGGACGAACACGTCAGTTTGTTTTGGGGCTTTCTACGTCCGACAACGTTTAATTGATTCATCCATTTTGATTTTCTGTTATCACAATCTCAGGTCAAAGTTGAACTAATCAGCCTTCTCATCTTTATCTCCACCCAACATCAAGTTCAAATGACGCTGCATTCACTGTACCTTAAAAGTTGTAAATCAGACTTCTTATGCTCATTCCTTTTTGGTTTGCATTTAACAGCACTTTTTTTATCAGTGGTTAAAGATTAGTGAGATAAAATCTCTTATGTTTGATACTCAGGCTTTGATATTTGACATCTTATCTCTATTTTGATGATCGAGATTCCCATGTTCAGCGAGCTCCTGAACTCATCCGGATTCTGTCTATAGGAGAAACATTACTTGGACAAAGTGGAATAAGAAGTGCCATCCACTTTAAGGAGCCTGTGTGTGATGGAGGGTAATCCCTCCACCCATTGGAGCAGCTTATTACCTGGTTACACTATTAATCCATTAAATAATCAATGGAATGCTCAGGAAAAGTCGGCTAAATAGGCCGCTGGGTTTCCTACTGTCAGTTTGGTGGCTGTACAGCACTCTGCACTGATTTGTTCTGTATGCTGGTTTAAGATATCAGACTATTAACTTTTGCTTTGTTTTGTGGGTATTAAGTGCGTATTGATCACAACTGATCTCTAAAGAGGCAAAACAAATCAACATTTGGCTTTGGAGATGCTCCTGATAAAGAAAAGTCATCATTGTTCTGTTTAAATTCCTTGGTGGCTGTGCAGCAGTCTGCTCTCTCTGTTTCCTGAAATCTACACGTGTCTCTGTGTGTTTTCAGTGGCGTAACGAGCAGTCTGTGACGGAGAAGCAGAACCCGCCGGGCTCCAACGCCGCCAACGCACAGAACAAGCGCCGGAGGTACTCTTGACTTATCCAGAACCCGGTTCTGGGTCAGGGGTTTCTGTTTTAGAGGGCTAAATGTGCTCAGTTGTTCCACTCTGACTCTAACTCTGGTGTATTTCAGGACCTCAGTCTGCAGGATGAGCAGCAAAGACAAGATCAACGTCCCGGACCAGTCCAAAGAGAAGGGCGTGTCCGGGGGCCTGGACCTGAGCGAGGAGAAGGAGGGCCTCTCCGGTCAGTCGGCCGGGCTAACGGCCACGCGCAGAGCTCTCGCTGCCAACTGCCCACTAAACCTGCTTCTCCTCTTCTCCACCCAGAGGGCTCCAACGTGTCCAGCCCGGAGTCTGAGAGCGGGATCCCGTTTACAGTTACAGCCGCCGAAAAGGTGAGGAGACAGGTTTTATCTGAACGGGCCTCAGGCTGGAGAACGCGTCCCAATAACGCTGTGAATCCAGCATTTATTTCATAGCTCATAATCAAACTGGTTAGTGTTTTAGAGCAGATTTACCTGATCAGAAGAGATTAGATCAGACTTAAAACCTATTTGACCGATGAAGAATCACATGACTCTGTCATAATAGTCATCAAATCACTAAATCCTGAATTTCCCCTTGGGGATCAATAAAGTATCTATCTATCTATCTATCTATCTATCTATCTATCTATCTATCTATCTATCTATCTATCTATCTATCTATCTATCTATCTATCTATCTATCTATCTATCTATCTATCTATCTATCTATCTATCTATCTATCTATCTATCTATCTATCTATCTATCTATCTATCTATCTATCTAT